ACTCTGCCATACATGTTGATTCCTATTCACTCAGATATTTTGTACCTGTGTTCCGGGGGGCCTTATTGTTCTGAAAGGTGGGGCCTGCTGCAGAGAGTTAGCAGTAGAGCGAGGAGTGTTGGCACCATCTTGGAAGCAAGTCCTCCAGAAAAACTGGCCCTGGTGTCTCACCTGTGGGGGAGAGGGGCATTTACCGACCTGCGGTGAGACCCCAGGCCCACAAAGCTAGCAGAGACTGCGGGCGGGGCACCGAGGCAATCTGGAACGGCTGGCCGCTGAACCACAGAACAGAATGGGGCGCTGGCTGTTCGCCTTTGTAAGTTACTCTCTTTCCCCTACCTTGAATATAAACTATGAAAAATTCTGCTAAAGGTGTGTTATACGGTTTGTCTAATAGCTCCAGGAGTAAGGGACAAATTGGCACAGCCGGCAGGATGACAGCGCTAGGAAGGAATGACAAACCCTGGGAGTTTGGAAAAAGCTAGGGAGCTAATGGCAGCACTGATGTGGATCTTACAATGGACTATAAAATAGGTAACTAGAAAGGAGCCGGCAACGCAGAAGCGTGGGCCACAGCTGTGTTGTAAATATGGGGAAATAGCCCAGTTGTGGCTATATGAAAATTTGTTAAAGGTTATAGAAAGGCTAGAAAAAAGACCTTTATAGGCCTGGGACACAAGCAGAGTACCCAGAGGGGGGGCGTGGCCACTTTGCATAATAAGAGATTTCACCAAAGCCTAGGAAGCTGAAAAGACCAGGGAGGTGCTGGCAGATTCAGTTGCCGAACTTGAGGAGAAAAGAAATGGGACATTTTAACTTGTGTAAGGCCCAAGGACTCCAGAAATATAGACAGATAATAACGAAAAAGAAAATGGCCTAAAAAAGAACGTGGCTAAGGCTGCCCCTCAGATTCAACCTTTGATACAGGAAAGAAAGGAAGCTAGTAGTACTGTAGCTAGGAAATACTCCACACTGGAACTCCAAACTAGGAAAAACTTACAAGCAATCAATCAAAGAGGCCCTCACCACATGGCTAGTGAGGGTATGGGACATGGGAGCAAATAACTTCAGTCTAAGTCCTTCAGAAGCTTCACAGCTGAGTTATATAACCACCCATCCATCCTTGCAATATAGGCTGTTCGACCTAGGCCAATGCAGGGGGGATCAGTCCTTAATGGGATGGCTGGTTGAAGGCATTAAGATACATGGTCATCACCAAAGGAAACTTCAATAATTAACAGAGGCTGGATGACTATAAAGGAGGGACAGGCATTACTGAGAGAACTAGGTATGAGAAAAGCAATATATGATACCCAGTTCACTGGGCCAGATAAGACTGTGTTCACCAGAGATATGAAGGATAGTTTCATTCAACTGGGACACCAAGAATGGTATGGAGCTTTAATGGTTTTGCTAAGCCCTTTAATAGGACAGGATCTTTGTAAAGTGAGAGAGGCTTTAGCAGATCTAAGTGACTCTGACCAACGTGTAAAACATGTCTGTAGAATAACACCCTACAGGAGATATAAAAAAGACCACAGAGAAGAAAGGTTCCATTTGGGTCACTCAGAGACAAATGTGGCAAGACTTATGTCAAGTCCAAAGTCCCAAAGAAAAAATTGATAGAAAACCAAATTCAGTGTTAAGGAGTTTCTGGAAGGCTTTAAAACCAGAACAACAGCTTACAAAAGGCATTCAAAGGATAAAATCTGTCCCAGGGGTGGTTAAGAACTCCCAAAGACTAAATAAAGTGCATTTCTCTTCTGATAAAGGCTATACTAGGGGTGGAGGCAGTTTTTCCCACCAAGGCCTCCCCCAGGAGCTGGGTATGGTCAATGGAGAAATGGCAGATATGGCTACAGTCAGGAGGCAGACCCAGGGCCTGCCTGACTCAGAGAACCAACAGGTGCAGCAGGGACAAGGGAAACCCCCTTCCTCCTTAACCCAGTGCAGGGTCAGGCAACTGGAGCCAGCACCTGTAAGCATATCAAAGATAAAAGAATACAAATAGACTCCATACAAGATCCCCAGAATGCGGAATTGCTCCCATGGGAGAACTAAAAATAGTAAAGAACTAACCAAATTAATGCCTCTTACCCATGCTGTGGTACCTAACAAAGATCTATGGAGAAAACAGTCAATACGAATGGATAAAACCTTTCCATGCTGTGTTAGACCTCGTCTGTGATTGATTTAATATATGATGTTAACCTTCCTTCAGGTGTTTTACAGATGTGAAGTGCATTTGAAAGATTCCTGCAGTGAAAAAGGCCAGCTATAGCTGTAAGACTCTTGGGAATTTTATGGTTGAGTAAGATAAAAGCAGAGGCTCAAACCACACACGTTTTAAGGAAAACTATAGTACCAGGGGTGTGTTGCCCCCCTATGAGCTGTTGGTCAGAGAGAGATGCTAGAGGCCCTCAAATTCAGCAAGGCTTTTGACACTAATGTTGGTTGTACACCAGAAGGGTCAGTAAGGCCATGTTGCTGAAGACACTGCATGACGTGAGCACAAGAGGAAAAGAAAGATGGAGCTGAGACTAAGCCAAGAACTCCATGCCACTGGATGGACGACATTCATAGTACCAGAAGGCACTATGCATATGGATGGGGAAGAAAGGATCACCTATGATTCTTCTCAGCAATGGACCCTGCGTGCTGCACACTGTGGACATGCCAAGCAATGCCTGAAAGTGCAATAATGGCTCAACTAACATGCGTATGACTGACAAATGTCTAATTGGATAAGGCCCACTTCTAGGGTGGAACACACATCTGGTGCTATAGACCAAGCCAACACCCTGTGTATAGAAATGCTACAGACCCTAGCAGAAAAGCCATTACAAGTGTATTGTTTAATGAATACAGTACAACCTACTGGGATATCCTCTAGGCATTTGTATTTACAATCATGTTTGCTTAGATGTGTCTCCTTCCTTCCGTTTGTCTTTATAGTAGAAGAAACACCACTGAGATAGATCAATGGCCAGGGCTTGAAGATGCGTAATGGGGAGGCCCAAAAAGTCAGTAACCTGCCACAGTACAAGAGAGATCTCCCTACATCTGTCACCCCCTCCGAGGCTCAGGGACCTTAGTGGAAGACTGGCGGAAAGATTGTAAGAGCAGAGGAAGGGGTGGAGTGTGTCTTGAGGGTCACTTATTCCGCCTAGGGGCGGGGCCTGCTGTGGAGAGTTAGTTGTAGAGGGAGGAGCGTTGGTGCCATCTTGGAAGTGAGCGGCATAGGAAAAATGGCCCCAGTGTCTCACCCGTGTGGATGCAAGAGGGGGCATTTACCAGCCTGGGGTGGGACTACAGGCCCCCAAGGCATAGTCGAAAGCAATCGGAGACTGTCAGCGGGCTTGGAGGCAATCTGAAACAGCGGGCCACTGAGCCAGAGTGGAAGGGGACTCTGGGTGTTCACCTTTGTAAGTTACCCTATTTCACCTACCTTGAATATAAACTATGAAAAATTCAGATAAAGTTGTGTTATACAGTTTGTCTACTAGTGCCAGGAACAAGGGACCCTAAGAGAACTTGGGTACCCTAAGAGACAGCACTCAAATATCCTTCAGTGTAAATGTGTCCACTGGAGTCTAGTCAACCCATCCAGTGGTTGTGAGTCATACTCTCCCTCACCCAGCAGCAGTCGGTCTCAAATAGTTCTCAATCTAGTGCTACCCCCCCCCCACCTATTCCTCACCTCCCCTATGGGTCCTTGTTTAATTGAGATGGCATGGGTCCTGTGCTCAATGCCACCACTGCTGCAGGCTCACGTGAGCAAGCCTCCAGTGGCCTGGAAGCCTCCACCTTGCAGTGTTCATGAACCAGCCCTGGTTCTTACAATCTTTCTGATTCCTCTCTGCCACAATGGAGAGAGGACTGTTGTATCCCTCAACCCTCACCAATGAGGCTTCCTTGTACATCAGAGTCCAATGCACACAGAGGCCACAACTGGCCAAGTTTTGGAGAATAAAAGACTATAGAGTCTAGGATGGGACTCCTATATGGAACCTCACCCACCTATGGCTCAGGGGCCATTGTGGAAGTGGAGTGCTTTCAATGCATGTGATTCTGATGTGTAATTTGGTAGATACTACTTTGAGGCATCTATATTTAGTAGGTTCCTTTCAAGGTGACAAGTCAGCATCAGAGGCTGTAAAATATACTACAGATGGCAACACTGTAGACTCTAGTCTCAATAGGAGGAACTAGTCAGGGAATTTTCCTGATGAAATAACTATATTCTGAGGAAGTCCCATGAGAGTTTGTTTTAGGAAATCAGTGGTATGCTTCATGAGAAAGGTACCTATCATGTAGGGGCAATTCATGTTGATCCATAGTCACCAACTGATCTTTGATATCATGTCAAAATTCCATTTCTCCTCCTCCTGCACCGCGTTTTGACCAAGTCAAAGCTATGGAAATCTGGAAGAAATGGGAAGAAGCGATGGAGGAGTGGATGGTATTTGCCTTTCCATCTGTGGAAATTGACCCACCAGGGAATGACAGGGGTACGCCTACAGTTTGAATCTGAGAAGTTGAAACTACTCCTAATGACTTTGTTTAAACCCATAGTAACTAGAGCACATGTGGCATTCTTGGACCATGAAAGAAGATGAGAATTCAGGGGACCATGTCTGAAGACAGTGGTAGTGACATCAAAAGATGCTTCATGATTGAATCCTCAGATTATTTAGGTTTTCTGAACATGTCACAGTACTTAGGGATAGGACAGTTGCATTGTTTTTATGCTGCCTGTGAATTCAATACAAATGTTAGGTGAGAGACAGTGGCTCTCCTTCCTAAAGGGGTGCTGAGAATTCCATGCTTGTAGGATATAGATGGATGGATTACCAGACATGCCATTCTTTAATTCTAGCAAGGCTAACTTCTGCTATTTGTGACATTTTTATAGAAATACATAAATATTAACAATAAATTTTGTATTAAGTAAACAAAATATTTGGGGTCAATTGACTGCTTACACTTGGAGGTTTCTTAAAAATAAAAGACTGCTTTTATTTTTGAGGAAGAGAATGCCATTACACAGAAACATGCCTTCAACAGGTAAATGCAGCTTTGCCTCTGTGGACCATCAAGAAGCATCTCAGAAGCAGAATAAGACGTGAGCTCAGCAGCCGCTGCCTTGGACCGATTTGCACTGCAGGTACCTCAGATAAAGTTCAACATGACTTGAATCCCGTTTCAGGCAGCGAAACAGGTTATAAAAAGCGAAATACCTAGTGTCTCTGTTAGCCGCCTGCAAGGATGCCAATCCAGACCAGGGAAGGTAGCCCTCATTTCCTCCAGTTCCAATGTTAACCTAATCAACACACAGAAGTCTAGTATTAATTAAATAATTGATTTTTGATTCTTATTCTTTCTAAATGATAAGTTTTATAAGAAATTATGGTTGTAAAACTTTAGCCAAACCTAGGGGATGTTATGTATCTGGGAAGATTACCTAAAGGTGTTAGGCATTAAGTATCAGAAGTTGGGCAGTTGGATACATTTTCTGGATGAAATTGCTGCTTTTTGAAATTGGTTCTTCTGGGGCATTGCATAACAGTTTCCTCCCAACAGAAACAGTCCTTTCAGGAGGGAGGGGGAGCTAAAAGGGACTCAAGAGATTGAAATAAGTCTTCACAACAGGGAAAGTGGAAACTCGGAAGATTCTCAAGGCACCTCTCAAGTTTATAGAAGCAGGCAGTCACTGCTGGGAATGGAGAATCTGACCAGCAGTGTTGTAGAGAGATCACTCAGACCTGTCCAGCTCCTTGTGAAGTGTTAAAAGAGCTTCAGGGCTGGGTGTCAGGGTGGGCCCTTCAGACATGCACCTGCCTTTGGGTCATCCCTCCTCCTGTATGTAACCCCTCACCCACATTCCTGTTAGGAACCAAATCAAAATGTACTAATTCGCAAATTGGACTTTGGGGCAAACTTTACTATGGTCTGTTGTAGTTTCCCTTTCTGGTGTGAGTAGGGCTGAGTGTTGCCTCTCTCCACACAAAGGCTCACAGAACACAGTAGACACACAGACACCAGCCATTTGTCTGAGGGACATGGAGGAGCCACGGTCAATTCTGTCCCTTAGGGATCTTTACCTGTCTTCAGTGCTGTTCCTAAATAGTCTTTTAGTTATGAATGCTGATATTACTCCATGTACTTTTGACCTTCTATCAGATGAATTTTATATATAATGTATATATGCAAAAATTTCAACTCAATAAAGATTAAAATTTGTATATAAGATGTAGATTATCCATCAATACTGAAAGAAGAAGATCTGAGAGAGCGTTATGCATCTGTCTTTCTGAACACAACGTACTTTCCAAATCACTGTGAGGAGAAAAGGTTTCTTTGGAATGTGAGGTTCTGAGGAAAGCCTTTTGAGAAGGTCAGGGTAGGACAGCCACTTAGGAGTGGGGATGTTCACTAAATTGATGTTCAGATTTCTTTCTTGCCAGTGAAATATTTCAAAACTCATTTCTCATCACACTTTCATGCATGAGAAAAGCAGAGACATGCAGAAGACTGCTCACCTGGTCAAGGATCTTCCTAATACTCTCCAGAATCTTCGCGTTTTTTTCTTTCACCTCCATGACTCTTGTGAGCATAGGAGGAGTGTATCCCAGCTTGTTTAACATCAAAGACCAAAGATGGGACAGAGGCTCGATCCAGGCACTCAGGAGACTTTGCAAACCTTTCAGGAGGACTTCCGGCTATGTGAGCACAATTGAAAATCACGTTAAAGGGAAATGGATTATTTGTTGGCAGATTTAACTTAAGTTGCTCAATGAAGCTTTCTCTTTGCTATTCATGTGCATGTATTTAAAATACTATTCTATTGATTGTACAGGACTCTAAAATTTTTAAATGTAGTCACTGACCTCATGTTATAGAATATTTAGAAGGTTTAAGTTCAGAAATATCAGAAGTATGCTTTATGAGCTTTCTTTTCAAAGTAGTGACTTAACAGTAGTCAACACTGTCTCTCCCTAGCTTTTTCCACTTTACCTTTTGACTAACATAACGAGCATAATGAGAACTGCAGCTGTACCAAATACTGATGACATTACAGAAAACACAGAAGACAGTTTGTAACTGTGGGGACATTACACAATTATGGTTATCCATTGTCAGTCTTTTAGGATGCTCCAAGGAGCAGAATCGGAATGGAGGATAGCAAGCATAACTTATAACCAGCTTATCTAAACTTGTCATCACACAGACTGACTGGCTGCATCTTGAAGAACATCGTATAGTATTTTATGGAAATCCGTCCTCATGTGACTTTCAGTTTTGACAAGGTAAACGCAGAGAAGTCAGAGGCGCCAGGCAAAGAAGCAGAAAAAGGATCACGATGGACACACATGTCAAGAGAAGATTCTGTGGTTGTCTGTTCTGTCAGATTTGCCAGTGCAGGGACCCAGTGCCATATATGATGAACGCAGCTGTATTGACATTCCAATCTGTGTGTGTTTGTTAGTCTATGTTTAACCCTGGATGTCAAAGTCAGTTTAGATTGACTACAGGGTGCAAGGCATTGTGAAATCGGTCCTGTGAACGGCCAGTGTACCCATCCTCGACACTTGTAGTTAGCAATGATTTTCTGTTTTCAGTGTAAATATTCTTTGATTGCTCACCCCCTTTATTTCTCTGCATGTGCGTTTACCATAAGTGCTGTCTTACTTTAGTAACATACAGTACGGCAAAGCCAGTGTATTATGTCCATCATTTCGGTAACATTCCATGGCTGAGGCTCACCTGGATCTGGCTGGCTTGATCCTTGTTTTCTGGAATACCAAGGGGATCAGTGTGACAACTTGTGGCGTTTCTACGCTCAAAACCACGGCCCTGGGTGTAAAACTGATTCTGAAATTGTGAAATATCCCATTAGTTGACATTTCTGAATTTTGTAATTCTATCAGTGACTACTGTATTAAAGTATCTGCTAGATATGAAATTTAAAATTAAATTCTGCAAAGAAAGAAGAAATGCTCGATTTTCTGGGCATGAGGATAGTGACTCTACTTATTTCCATTTTAACGGTCTCAATTTTGCTTCTTCCAGCTTTCCAATCTCCCACCCTCTTCTCCTCTTCAGTCCTCTCATCTCCTCAAAAAGTTACTATTTGGCCAGCAGACACTATAACCTGCAAAACTACAAAAATGGTAAGTGTGGTACGTACATTAATTGATTGGTTTTTGTGACAACTGTCCAAATGCCTGCATGTTTATATTCATTATTTAGCTTTAGTTTGTTCATCACATTTGAAATGTCTCTTAAAGTAGCCAATACAATATTAGAGCTTTTCTTCCAAATTCCTCTGTTTATACAACTGTCTGAAACAAAATTAATCACATTTGAGTATCTCAAGTTTTCCCCTAGGAAGGTGTATTATGTAAACTTGATCTATGATTTTTTCATCATTTTGGATTTATTGATATGAAGACCATATTGGAATGAAGCCAGAACTCAGTGGGGGTACTTACAAAGTTATCAGACACCACTCTAATCCGTTGATTCATTTCCTTAGACAGCTTGATTGCCTGCTTAAATGTGTCCATTAAGAGAGGTGGTTTGCCGCTATTCGACTTGGCAACAGCAGAGGCCACGTTCTCCCACAGGAGCAGGCTGGACACCAGCATCAGGAAGAGTGTCCCTGGAAAAGAAAAGGAAGAGGTACCACGAGATCCATTCATGAGATCATCGAGTCTCACACTGTCTAGGAATGTGTAAACTCAGCTTCCTACTTTGTACAACTTGATACTTTTATCTGAGTTGAGGAATAAAAAACCTTCTATGCTGTGTGCAATTTATTAAGCAATTACACCTTTACAGATTTGTAATTTGAAATGATGGATGAGTACATTTTTTCCATCACTCCCGGGGTGAAGGTTCATGTTCTAAACTTTGGATGCTCAGCCTAAATCCAAGCCATGGTGACCTCATTCTTTTCAGATTGGTTATTGTCTTGAGGGTTCTGGTGATTTCCAGAGTCAAAGTCTTTTGAGTTTGTCATTGCTACTCAATCTCTGACATCAGCATTTTGACAGTGATGTGACAGGCAGTGCTCAGTTCATCTGTTTGCTTCATCTTTGTGCCTCACGAGAAGAGAATCATGACGGCTGGATTATTCACATGGAGGATTGAAATAATCCTGCCTTGAAAGTGGTATCATAGCTTGGCTTTTCTCTTTTAAATATTTTTATTGACTTTTTTGCATTTCATAAGATAACCCTCAATCAAATCTCGACTCCTCTCACCCGTTCATATCCTCATGCATCCCCCAAGAAGACCTCATGCATTTTGACATATATGTTAAGTTCTATGGGATCAAACACCTCACCTGGATGTCCCTTAATGCACATTCACCTGGTGGAGTCTTGTCATCCCACCCAAAGATCTTAAGGAAGATCTACTCTCCCTCATCCAGCAGCCATCCATGGCCAGCAGTTCCCAGAGAAGGGCTGGACCACTGCCCATTTCCTTCTCTCCATGCTGTTCCCCATGTTTGATTGAGTTGGTATGGGTCCTGTGAATGACCACAGCATTGCTGAAAGTTCACAGGAGCACGCTTCCAGTGACCTGAAAGTCTGTTTCCCCATCTTCAAGGACCATTCCTGGCTCTTACAGTCTTCTGGCACCTCTCTGAAATGGTCCCTGATGTGTGAGGTTTAATGCAGGAGTCCTACCCAGGGACACACACTCTGAAGTCTTTCATTCTTTAAAACCTCGGCAGTTGTGGCCTTCTGTGTTCATTTCTGTTACTTAAGGAAACTTTGCTCAGTTGGTGCAGTAGTGGCACTGTTTTCTGGGGGCTAATCAACAGCTATCTATTTAAACTCAAAGCCCTCTCAATGGGAAGGATCTCATGGATGGCACTGTAATTATAACCCAATATACACGACTGGAGAAGTCATAAATCCTAGAGAAAACCCTATCTACATTATATCTCTAGACAGATGACATTTCTTGCCATACGCTGAATATGGATCCTTATGTTTACTGACAGGTGTACTGTACACCACTCATTAAGGAACCTTCTTTTTGCAACAAGCTATTTCAGAGTTCTACAACTGGTCACACAGAGAGAATATACGTCTGAGAGATGCCCAGCCCTAGGTGACATATCTATGGTGGAGCCTCTACACCTAAGGCTCATGGAACATGGTGGAACAGGAGATGGAGAGAACAGTAGTAGATTTTCTGACTTACACAGTCATGCCATAATTTTTTTTACCTTTGTCAACAATTTCAGCTTATTTTCTTATTAAATCTGATGTTTACAGTAATCCTGTAAGTATTCTGGTCCTTCGTAATTACACTCAAACTGCAATGATCATAAAGACAGTGTGTAGAGTTCACCTGATTTTACTTTGTCCCAATATTGGAAGTTGGTTGAGGCAGAATGAGAGCTGTGATCTTACACTGCATGTGTCCCACCTTGCACCCTGTTGGCTCTGTATCTGTGTGGCTGGAACACAGCAATAGCCCTGACGGTCAGTGTGGCCTGAGGCTGTTGACGTTACACAGAAAAGGGCCACACATTGTTCTAGGTAGCATGATATCACAGGCCCGTTTGATTCTGTCTTCTTTCCTGGAGGTGTGTAACATATACCAGTAAAATGTGCACAAACGCTCAGTGTTGGTTTCAGCATTGATTTACTTTTCATCAAATTGAGACGTATTTTAGCATATTCCTTTTCACTTCTGAGAGAATAAAATGGTATGTATGTGTGAAAGTTAACAGGCTATTTACATTTACTTACACTAGTCTAATGAATTTCTGGTGTAGAGTGTGAGTCTAAGACCCTGATACCCACAGAACCGTTGATAAATGAAACGGGAAATTTCTATCGTAAGATTAGGGAGCTAGTGAAGACTTCAGTGGAATGAAGTAATTACGCCGAGGTGCCACAGTGTAACTACACGCACAGCACTGCCGCATACAACTCAACCATCAATCTTTCATCGAAAAATTAAAGCAATATTTTCAGATATTTCATATTTTACAGTTTAACATTTACAAATTGAAGATACTTTCTAAATGAATTTCACTCATTATGTATTTCTGTATTGGACATGTCCATATCAAATCCTTCAAGTCTCCTCTGAAGAATCCTCACAGCCTCAGATGAGTTTAAGGTATTGATTTTAATCATCCATTTTATATAATGAATTTTATATTTTATCATTCTTAGAAATATTGCAGGAATTAATAAGAACTACTTAACAATAACATGCTTTTATTTGAGTGGATGCTTTTCTTGAATGGGATTGTGCAAACTGTGCAATAACCACATGTGCAGCCCTGCCTGCCTCAGCCTCCTGCCCTGAAAATTTCTTTGGCTTTATCATATCTACCAACTCACAGAATTAGCCCAAGGACAAATTTAACTCATAGATTCTTACAGTTACATTCCAAAAAAGTTTCGATTTCTACAGTTTGTGACTTTTCGATCATAAGTTTTTTTAGAACAATCCAGTACATGGGAGGTTTCATAGAAATATACCAGGTTAGTACCCACTAGATATAAGTAATACTCCCGTTTTCTGACTTCAGTCAATTAACACAACCCAAAATGTCTCTGGACTTTGTCACAAGCCTCTAGGAGAAGGACAATCCCCCTCTGAAAGCTGCTGATCTGAGTCAGGCGTGTTATTGTGTTGCCCAGCAAGAATGAGAAAGTTCTAAGCTCTGTGTTGCCTTATTTCTCCCGGTGTCGTTAAAAATGTTAAGTCATCCTAGACGGGGCACCAGTGCCGCTTGAAATCTATGCTTCCCCAGCTCAGTATGGCAAAATAATGCATTTCCAGTCTTACTTAGCAGGAAGTAAGTGCAGGTGATACTTACAGGAGCAGTGTCGAGTCAGAGACAGATGCATGTCTGCGATGTCTCGGATGGCTTGGGTACCAGTCGAGGAAAGCTGTCTTCCTGTCGTCTGGTGCTCGGTATGGTTCCTGCTATATACTCCCGCACAGTGCCTTCGGGCGCACAGCGCTATGAAGTCATGCCTGGAGTCCCTGGCTAGGTTCCCATGACTCTTTCCCTCGGGGAATGTTAATAGCTTCAGTAACATAGTCATAGACGCAGACAGATATGCATTATTTTGCTTAGTTTTGGAACATGCCTAGGCTCTCAGCTACATTAAAGGTCAGCACAGAGCATTTCCAACCAGAGGATCTTTGCTATGGCCCAATACTTTACCTTTTGTTTCAGTGTCTTACATATTTCTGTCGCCTCTCCTGCAGTGATCCCAGAATCTGGGTGGTGTCTCATAAGTACTTTGTAGTTTCCTAGCATTTGATGTCATTAAAAAAAAAGTCACTGTCAGCAGTTTGACCTTCACGAGTTTCTGCTAATGTCCATGGAACACCGTAAAGAGTTTGAATCAACACACCAGTCTAAAATAGCAGTAATAGACGGGTGCAAACACATGTTTAGATGACAGTGTGATTGGCACATCATACGCATTTGATGAAACAATTGGAAAAGCCTCCTTATTAGGGCTTTGGATATATCAAGTCATATTTTCAGTCAGCATAGTGCTAAACCTGCTTAAATCCAGTCACAATGTTGTGGGCCACACCCACCCACAGGTATACCACCATTGAATAAAACGTTGCATCTATCTTAGCTTGTGTTAACACATGGATGATCTGGTCCTTAGAGACACTTGACCCCAGTACCACGCTGAGTGTCATCCAGCTTTATGAAATTCTGCCAGTGGCATAAGCTCCAGTTCGTGCCAGGTTTCACTCCACATCTATGTACTTACTATCTTTACAACAGCTTCTAACCTTTCAGTTGTGGTATGAATCTAGCACCAAGGCAACAGTTGGCAGACAGTGGAGGGTCACAGTGTGTAGGTGGCTGAGCATGCTCAGGAAGCTAGCCATCCTGTACTGAGGTTTCTCAGTCGGTCCCTGCCGTGTGCCATCACCTTTTGTACCATACTCGGGATCCTCTGTCAGCTTCTTGATTGCTGCATTTCCTGCTCCCCCAACTGGATTTCATGTCTCTAAGCCACTGAATGTTTGCATCACGTAATGCAGTATTTTCAAGCTCATGATCAGAGTGTTTGAAGGCACACTTCTGTCCATCTCCAACAAATGCAAATTGGTGTCGGTATTCAGCATCTATGGAAACATTACTCAAAAGAATTTTGCAAGTTCCACTGAAGCATGAAAAGATCTCACAATTGATTCAGAGATGGTTGTTAGGTGCACGCACATCCACTGCTGTGATGACCTGTGGTCATTGGGAACACGGTCTTTACTTCTTTCCCATTCTCCCAGTTCAGCTGTCTGTAGAACACATCTACCGGGCTGTATTTAATCAAAACTTTACCTCCTCCATTCTTACTTTCTCCTGGGTCCCCGTCCTTCATTTTTCCATCCATCGTAGTATTTTGTGTGTCATTATTTCATACAGTCTTGGCTTGCTGATGTCCGCAGTGGGCCCCTAGCCTTTGAATCCACATGGATATTACTTTAGTATGCACCAGTTTTTAAAATGTCGGGTTTGTTTTAAACACTTTTATTTTTCTTGAGAATTTAATACAACATAGTTTAATTATATTTTCCCACTACTATGCACCTCATCTCCTTCCAGATCCCCCATCTCTACCCCTACAACTCTATGCATTCTTTGAAAAGAATTAATTACCCGCTGACTACAATTTGTGCTGTCTATATATTCCTGGGTGTTTGGCCACCCACTGTAACATCACTCACCTACCAGAAGCCACATCCTAAAGAAAGTTGAATTTCCCTTTACCAGAAACCATATAGTGTCACTGGCCACTCAGTTGGGGGGTGGTTCATGTGCCCCATTTCTCCCATGCTTGGTTGACTGATTTCATGTTGTTCAGGTCTTATACAGGTAAAACCAACTGATGGATTTCCTGTCATGGCCGGAGCACAATCCTTGCTCCAGTCTTCCCTGGCAAGTACAATTTTTCCATCGTCTCTTTCGTGATGAGCCTTGTGGTAAAGGAGTTTGATCAATATGTCAGTTTATGGCTGTTCTCTCCACAGACACACATTCTCTTTCATTTGGACAGTTATGAGTTCTTAGGCATTTATTACCTGTACTTTCAGAAATGGTGACTTTCTGCATTAACCACCACCTGCTGTTCAAAGATATTCTTTGACGAAGTATTAGAGGTGCACTAGGTTACACGCACAGAGATATAACTTTAGAGGCTCTTTGATACTATGTTCACTATGAAAATAAGAGTATTATATTCCCTCCCGAGCCATGGTTTCTCAGATGGATTTGTAGTACCAGGAATGTGTTTTCTTGGGTACAGCAGACATTACATCCAAGAAGAAAACATTTCCCATCTGGGTAAGACTATTAGCATCTCATCACCTTACCACCTGCCCTCAAGCAGCCTGTACTGTACTATGAGAGCTAATCAGCAGGATGTAAGTTTCCTAGCAATTACTGACTTGAATTCTTCGTGTTCTGTGACCAATATGTGTGGTGTTTTTAGCAATAAGGTCTTATTAGGAAATTCTGGTGAT